AAAATGGAATCCCCCACTATTTCCCCCATTATTTTTCCTGGGAATTTTCAGGCTCCTCCCCACCCACCTGAGTGCTGGGCTCCTTCTGGAAGTGTCTGAGCTCCTCCTGTGCCCCACAGCCCCTGCCCCACTGCTGGGACACGCTGGTGACCTGGCACAGCAGCAGGAGAAGGCATTGATATTTTATATATTTTTATATTTTATATTTATATTTTATATTTTTAATATTTTATATTTATACGTGTATTTTCTATTTTAATTTTATATTTATATTTTTATCTTTTATATCTATATTTTATATTTTAATATTAATATTTCCTTACATCCCTGAACCCATCTCAGCCTCCCCAATCCTCCCAAATTCCCTCTCAGCCCCACACCAAGCACCTTTGGCTCAGCCTGCCCTCTCTTCACGCTGTCTCTTCCTAAAAAAAAACAAAAAAAAATTTATCACAAAAACAGGGAGTTACAAAAAAGGCATTTCATTCAGATTTATACAACAATCTCACACATTCAGCCAATTCCTTCCCACCCTGGGAGGGCATTTTAAAAAAAAAATAACTCACCACACCCCCAATGAATCAAACATGGAAACCCCCACAGGGGTTTGTATAAAATAAAGGCTATTAATTGCTATGAAATAAAGATTATTAATTGCTATGAAATAAGAGCTATTTATTTCTATAAAATAAAAGCTATTTTAATAAAGCTATAGAATATATATTTTAATAAAAGCTATAAATAAGGGCTATTAATTGCTATGAAATAAAGGTTATTAATTGCTATGAAATAAAAGCTATTTAAATAAAGATATAGAATATATATTTTAATAAAAGCTATTAAATAAAGGTTATTAATTGCTATGAAATAAAAGCTATTTAAATAAAGATATAGAATATATATTTCAATAAAAGCTATAAATAAGGGCTATTAATTGCTATGAAATAAAAGCTATTTATTTCCACAAAACAAAGGCTGTATCTATAAATAAGGGTGAATAACTGCCATGATCAATACTGTTAAGCCCTCAAGGCTTAACCTCGAGGTTTAACTTTAACCAGAGCCTGCAACCCCTTCTTAGCTTTGCTAAAACCAAGCCCAAAGCTGTCCTGTCCCCCCCAAAGACAGGAGGGCTCCTGCAGACACAGGGACACATCCCCACCCCAGGGAGCTGCTGGAGGTTCCTCCTACCTCTGCTGGAGTCCTCGAGGGCAGCTTTAATCAAAGCCAAAATGTCAATATTGTCCCCAATCCTGGCGTAGTAGGCACAGTCATGGCCAAGGCCATCAGTCAGAGCCACGTCAGCACCGTTCCTGAGCAGCACCTCCACGGCATCCCTGCAGCCATACTCACATCCCAGCATCAGGGCAGTCCTGGCAGGGGGAAAAAATGGGATTGAGACACCCAGGGATCCCCCAGAGCTGAGCCTGGCACATCCC